TTTTTTTAATCTACACTGAGGTTGTATGGCAAGAAACCTTCTCAGCTGCATATTTTATTCAAAACCAGAAGAAATTTCCCAGATGAAATTTGGTATTTACAAAGCACACACTTTTATGACAACACTACAGATCTTAATTTCAATCTCCACCTTACACAGATATAAACTGGATAGTCAATCGAAAAGCTATTTACTCAGACATGAACACTTCTGTCCACAGGATTTGCAGGTGGCTCTGCCTGATGGTTTTCAGTACATCTGCAATTATTACCAATCCATTTTTGGAGGCATGTTGAAAACACAATCCTAAACATTATCAAGCAGCAAACTATTATGATAGCAAGATAAAAAGAGATGTCCATGGTTAGAACTTGTTTTTAAAATAAACCTGCTATTAAATATATAATTAAACACATTAGTGTGTGAAATTACAGTAGATATTCAGTGCATGATACAGCAATGCCTTACTTCACTAACCTTATGTCGGTATTTCCTCTTTTAAGACCTTATTTTAGAGACTACTTATTCTGAAGTGTTTTTATTTATCTCATCAGATAGTGCCAGATACTTTAGGCCACCTGTTCAGATACTCTGAACATCAGCAGCTCCTGCTTTCCTGAGGTGGGGAAGCTTGGATGTTTAAAAGTTAGGGGAGAGAAATCTTGGGTGACAAACACCAGCAATTCTCCCTTCTCCCTCAGGGGCATAAAACCCTATTAAGGTAAAGTTAAAAAACCCTACAACATCATAGCAAGACAAGGGGTCGCATTTTCCATGCCTCCTGAAGAAAAACTCCAATATGAGCACTCCTATTACTCTCTTGTGGGTAGCTAAACAGACAGAATAGAAACAAAGAGTTTACTTCTCTAACAGAAAATACTTCCCCAGAACTCAGTGAGAATAATTTAAAAATTATGCAAGTTGGGAAACTAGAAGATGCCTGCAGGCTGACTTATTTCTTTTACATTGTAAAAATTCTATTTGTCTCTATATAGGAAGGGAATGGCCATACTGGAAACAAAACCAAATAGTTGCATTTTAATTTGCCTACCATTTCAGCCACTAATGATACAGCCTTAAATGCCTTGTCAGTCAGGTATCATTAATACAGAAAACTCTATCAAAATGAATTTGATTTTAACAGGCAAGGTAACATGATGAACTAAGGGATCTCTTAAGAAATCTTATATTTTTCCTTTAAGACAAAGATATCTTGCTACTTTTGCATTCAAGATCAAAGGAGGGAAATAATACGAGGAGACAAAGACAGCGGAAAGAGAAAGATCATTTGAAGCTTCAATTTTCTCTCTAACACTTTCTCTTTTAGATCAGTACAATCACTACGTTCACCCTATAGAGAAAGAAGATTAAAAAGGGAGGTTATATATGCCTAAAAAGAACTCTGGGCAACTTTGCTGATGTGTTTAAAGCTACTGTACTTTACAGTTCTTATTTCAGAAGTAAAATGATAAACAAAAAACAAAGCACTTTTAATCTTCAAAGCAATGTATGATCAATAACAACTTCACAGCACTCAATATTCAAGTATCATAATCTGTATTTTACTTCAGGAGAGAAAGATGTGTAGAGAATAAGTCTAACGCTGAACCGGGGATGGAACTCAAAACATCACAAGCTTTTACGTTAAATGAGGAAACCATGCTTTCATTTAGGAGTTGTTCTTTTGTTGACAGTTTTTATTTGAGAAAATTCTTATTATAATAAATAAATTATGGACATTTTCCAGCCCCTGCAGAAACGTTTTGAGATACTAGTGGAGGTACATCCCAGGATTGTTTGGCAAAATATTTAGCACAGCACACCAATTAACCTACTATGCCTCTGAAATTAATCTAACCCCTTCCAGTAGGTTATTTAAATAACTATTTCCTAGGGTCAACATATGAATAGCTTCATATTGGCAACACCTTCCTTGGTAAATTAAATTTACAGTCAGGGCACTCTGCAGGACATATCCAGCCTCTGAGTTAGAGCTATGCCCTCTGACTCTTCACAGCTTTTGAGAAGGGAAGTCTGGCCTGGCATACCGAATCTTGCAATAATATTGGTCATTGATCTCAGTCTCATCTTTGTCCATCTAAATCCTGAGAGATCTTTTCAAGAGCAGAAGGAGAACAACGTCCAAAAGATATTCAGTCAAGGATCAATTTAATAGGAATTTCACAACTGCCTGCAGTACAAAAACTTTGAAAAAAGCCTGAAATATTTGCAAATCAATAAAAAAAGTTTCTCCTGGAAACCACACACTTCTCAAACTACAAGGGGAAAGATTTCCATATCATTGTACTGTAAACTTGCTGTGATCCGTGGGAGTGCTGAGAGATTTAATTTACATACTAATGCTGCAAGCAGGTTGGGGGGTGTGAGGGGAGAAGAGTTACTTAGCACCAGTAATGAGCAGAAAGGAAAATAAGGCAGCTACAGTCCCCATGGACTGTTTTGTTTTCAATAATTTCAGACTGTCTAATAATGCCTTTTAATAAGCTGCTCTCAGATATAAAGCTGCAATCAGCCTTTGTCAGGGAACATAATACTGCCCCAGACAGGAAAACAGTTCAGACGTAATGGACAAAAGACCTCAACTATATAAAAGCTTCTTAAAAAAAAAGGAGAAAAAAGTTCCATCAGTGAAAGACATAAATTATGCTGTCTATACCGTGTATCCTTTCATTTCTAAAATGCTAGATTTCAGAAGGATATCTATTAAAGCAAAACACATTCTAAAAAACACATTTTTTCCACTCCTACAGCTTATCATTAGAAAAACTTGCTTATTTATAGGGTATTTATGCCCCGCAAGTGCAATCCAAATTTTGATCGATAATGTTCTGTTTATAGTCTAAGCTACCTATTTAGTCTCTAAATGACTGCTATGTGACACAGAGATTAACATTGCAATAGGCTATCCAAATTTAAGACTATTTCCACTCCACTCAATTTAATGGCAGTTCCCGCTGAAGCTCAAGTCTAGCTGTAAAACCTAAGATACATACGTAACAGGTAAAACACGGCTGTTCTACTCTGTTAAACACAGGACTCCAAGACAGTGGGTCACCTTCCCAGCTGACAAAAGCAGGTCCAACTCCACTGTTGCCAAAATCAGCCATGCCACCGCAAACTGGAACTGAATCTACCCAACACTTGGCTTTTAAAATTGGTTTATAAACCATTACTAATTCTAAAAAAACCTGAGTATCATCCTTTTAGTACATGTATTTTAGTTTTTATAATTCAAAGCACTAACAAGATGGAAACAAGCTCACTTTTTTTTTCCTAGGAATTCTTCTATCTTTCCAATATTATCACCATCCTTTTCTTTCCAGCAGACTTACTGTGATGGCAGTTAGCACATTTTACAGATCAGTTCAGAAACATGCCTGAAACTTAAATAAGACACATTGTCAAAAAAAATATTTAATCACTAGAACCAGCACAAAATCTGTTTGACCTTAAGACACACCTATCCCCTCAGCAATACAGGTAGAGATCTCTGTTTAAGCTCTTTTAATTTGCTGGAGAGTTAGCATAAACCACTGTGGCATTTGGTTACTGTACTTTGCTCTCATTTAAGGAAAAATAAATATATCACTTAGAAAAAACAGATAACTTGTGGAGTTTAAGCAACAAAATGATAGCTTTCTTCTCCTGATACATTTATACCCCACTTTATGGAAGGGGAACTGACTGTATCTGTCACCAGCCAGTCACACTTTCGCTGAGGGGTGCCAGATAATAATAGCACGTCAACACACTCACAGCCAAATGCTCCTTTTGCCAATGAGATTTCATAACGCTTCCTCCACTTCTGAAGCTCTCCAAGGAAAGGAAGTGCAAACTTGCTGTTAAAACATGTAGTCCAAAGGACTACCCACAACTGTCTAATGTTTGAACTCTTTTTTTTCACAGAAAGAGGGAAATTATTTTTTTTGCATGAAGTTACTTTTTTTGTCTTTTATTTTTTCCAGCTAGAAGCTGTATACTTTTCTCTAGCTAATGGTAAAACAAGAAGGGGACAGTTACGAAATTCAATTAAGACATGGCTTTCTTGTTGGTGGTGTTGCCAATAGCATTAGATCAGCACCTAAATATCTACTAAGGGTAGAGCAGACCTTTCTCAAGCTGAAAAAATCCTCAATGAAATACAGGCTTCCAATCAGCTCAGAAAAAATGCTAACAAGTACTGAATTAAAGTGTGAAGCAGCCAGTACTTTAAGAACAACATTCCTAATATTGATTTTACAAAAAAAAATACTTTATCAGGAAGTTAAACACACATCTAGAGTCCCAAGTAGTTTCTCCACACTCAGAGCTAAAAATTCAACAACATGAGATTTCAAACCCTCCTACACCCTGAGATTATTCAGGATTCTAACTTCTCTGTGGAGGCACAGACCCTCCCCTCCCCACAGCACCACCATCTGAAAAACAGACTGAGCAACACTTGCACTGATCACATAACGCAAACTTTCCCCCCTTTTTTAAAACTTGTTTCTACTTGCAAGCTATTTCATGCTATCTCAGAAATACTGGAAAATAACGGTGGCATGCAGTTATCCACCCAAACCTACAGTAAGAGGTCACAGAAAGGGCTTCTCATTGTCATTTTGTAGCAATTCCCCCTCACTTCAATACACAAGGTTAAACTACTCCAGCAGCCTCCCTACAGGGCTCCCATTGTTTGTCAGTCAAGGCTGGGACACAATGACACTCATTCATGGGCACAGCAAACAAGCAGCTAAGGGCCAACGACCAGCATACAGTCTCATTTTGGTTCTTCTGCAAACAGTTTGTAGAAAGATGGCATTTCAAATAAACTGTTGTCAATTTTTCAAAGCTTCAATGCATTCCTAGTACAAACTACTTAGTATGTAGTCCAGACAAAAATTAAGACTTGGTAACTTGAGAACAATGTAAAGAATCACTCAAAAAAACACTCATTAGGACTGTTCCTGAAAAAGATCTGCTTGTTACAACCACATGCAAAAAGATCATGTTTTAATAGAGAAATACACATTCTGAAAAGTTCAGAATAGCCAATTATTTCCAAAGACAGTCATACCATGCTTCTGTTTTTAGAGTACCACTTAGTGTTCAGCCTCAGAGCTTATATTACTAAGGGTATAGACACCAAGGTTCCAAAGTGCACTTAGGCTGTTTACTTCATATCTTCTGGTTAAGAACCCAAGAGGTTTAGGGTTTGGGTTTTGTTAAAAATAGAAAAAAACAAATGCATATGACAGAAGTCCAATGCTGCTGATAACTGGAGAGACCCAAGCCTCACGCACCTCTTCATTGTTTTGCCTTTTCTACTTCAAAACTTGCTAGAGCAAAGACTTTGTCTCCTGATCCTATGAGAGAAAAAACACTTTCAGTAAGTATTAGTAGAAATTATGAATTTCCTTATATACAATTCAAATCAAGCAAAACATTTGAGATCAAAAGAAATCAAACCTACATTTTGAGAACTAGAAACTTGACCTAATTTAAAGAAAAATAAAAAGGAGACACACTGGCTTGACAGGTCTGAAACCAGCCACGTTGTATTGGGTCTGGCGGGGATGGAGTTAACTTTTCCTATAGCAGCTCTCCTAGTGCTGTGCTTTGCATTTGTAGCTAGAACGGTGTTGATAAGACACCTATGCCTTGGGTACTGCTCAGCAGGACTGGCACAGTATCACAGCATCAAGGCTGCCTCACCCTCAAAGGCCAGTAGGCTCAGGGTGGGCAAGAAGTTGGGAGGGGACACAGCCAGGACAGCTGATCCAAACTGACCAGGGGGATATTCCATACCGTATGACACCATGCTCAGCAATAAAAGCTGCTCTTTAAATAGAAGTACTCTCCTGAACAAAAGGTTTCTCACCTTGCTTACACTGAGTACTGCAAGGTAGGTAACAGACAGTTCATTTGTACCCTGACCTAGTCTGGCATGTTCCTGCCAGTCACAGTTCTTTCATCACAGTTCTAACTGCAATGCTACAATGAACTCCTCTGCTTATTTAACACATATTATAACTGAACTTTTGGTCTTGTTAATATGATAAGAGACTTCACAACAATCATGGCAAGAAGAGTGCTTTAAAGCTGTATTTTGACAGTGTGCCAACAACTGCTGAATACTCTGCATCAAGCAGAGGAAAAGGCTCTCCCAAAGAGTCATTAACACAAAAAAGATCTGTGTTTAATTGTAAGAGTGGCAGCTCTGCTTGAGACAGACCATTCAAGCCTTCAGCATTACAGGCAACACTTGACATTTTATGGACATTTGGCACTGGATTTATTTGCTGCGTTACTTTTTCCTCATGGATAGCGTTATCACAGAGTTTCATTGTTAATAACCAGAAAAACATACATCCAAATGTAATGGCATGAATATTTTGTTCATATTTTCTCTTTCATAGGGGAATCACAACTATTTCTATTAATCAGTGTTCAATGAGGCAAAGAAATTGGAAGTTACAAGACTGAAAACTTACCAAGGCCAGTGGAGACTCTCTCAAACTGGCTCAGGGCTGCACCAGCATTTGCTGACAAGAACATCTCCTCCTCTGGCGTGAGCTAAATCAAAAGAGGCCTGAACTGTGAACTTGGTACCTTAACTGTGCATATTCCCACCACTGTAATTCCCACCATCTGCATCGGCATAGACATGAACTATGACAGGTTACAGCCATCGTCAGTTTGCAGTTCTCAAGTGGCAGTGTTATCCAACATCTTAAAAGCCAAAGTAAAAACGCAAGCTACTCCCCCTACTACTGAATTTTTTCCCAATGGCATATGTCAGCCCAGGAAGGACAGCATATGCAACATCAGACACGCCTCTATATGCACCACCAAGTTTCAAGCTGACCTCCAGGGACAATTTTTGATGAAAATGTCACACTGTACCTGTGTACCGAAACTAGGCAAAGGATGTCAGTTACTTTTTTTCATGTGGTCAACAGAGTAATGAGCTATGATCTAAGCTTGCTTCATATCATCTACTAAGTGAAAATATGCAGTCACTACCAGCTTTGACCATGCTAAAAGTCAATGACCTAGAAATGGTTCTCTTCCTTTAAAGCACATTTGCACATGTATATTTTGCTTTCATGTATGTGCTCTGATGCCTTGTGACAGATGCCCATAAAATATTCACAATAGTGAAGTGGTAACTTACATTTGGAAGGTTCAGCTATTCTAAGTTAAAGCTCACTCATTTAAGCAGACTCGGATATATATCCTTATTAAAGTGAAGCATAAGCGTATCACTGTCCACAGTGTTCGTGTCAGTTTACTTAAAAATATAAAAATCAGGTACAGGCATTCAGAATGATGTTGGAATGGAGGAAAAAGTATTAGTTACCTGCCTTTGCAGGGCTTTGTAAGCAAGCATCTAACAACTTAAGATTTTGCAGTATTGTGCAGACAAACACGTAATATTTGCCATAATTTTTTCACGTTCAGAACACTCATGAAACTACTATCCTAGCGAGTCCTCTGAAGTAGGTTACTGATAATTTCAAAAGATAAAGTGGCTGTTGAAGCATGGCGAAGTGGCTTGTCTGAAGTGATCTAAGGCACTCATGACAGGAGGATTAGGTATCTTCAATGCATTCAGTTCACAATCTTAACTAGCCTTTTAACCTATTTCCAAAACATTTTTCTTCTCTGGCAGTCAAGCAATAAAAATATTCTGAGAAAAAGCATTTGCTAGTATCATCTACTTGGAATGCAGCTCCTTTAAGTATTGCACGTGACCTTTTCCATGACATTCCCTCATTTCCTAAGAAAGTTTAAGTACAAACAGCAACCCATTTTCTTCCTGTACCGTCAACAACAAGAAATAACTTTCTCCCTCTAGTGGTAAAAACAGGAATTGTTCTGCCACTGATGCACTCATTGGGGAAACAAGTAATTTATCACTCATCTCTCCAATTTATTTCTCTTACACCAAGAGGCAGGTATTTTCACCAATACAAAAGCAACTAGAGTTCAATGTATGTCAAAAGTCTTGGACAGTTCCTGCCAGGTGAATAGGTGGCATTTAGCCAGTAAAATACTTGTTTTGTAGCTTTTATAAATATTGTCAGCTTCTGTCAGCATATATGCAATGCATTCATATGACCCACCAAAGAAAGTATTTCAAAATAGAAACAGCCTTATATAGACATACAATACATTCACTAGTTAATGTAAATTAAAAACACTGATAAATGTTCACTAGTGAGTGCTTCAGAAAGCTAAGTGTTAAAATGGAAGGTCATTTCTGTACTGCAAAAGCAAGCTGCATTTTATCGTTTGCTCATGAACAAAAATGGTAATTTCTTATGTTAATGATTTCAAATTCCTCTTCAATATAGAGACAGAAATTTCTATTTGCCTCACTATCATTCCAACACCTTACCTTCTCACCAAGCTTTCTGAGGGCAGTCAGGATTTCCACTTTCTGCTGAGTATATAGATCTCGTTCCAACTTCCCAACCATTAAGTCTCGGTCCATCTGTAGACCAGCAGGGAAAAGATGTCAAAATGTATCAGCTTCCCCTTAGTCTCACTCAACATAACAGCATGAGCAATGCAACAGCCTAAAAATATAATCAGTAAGAATGGTACCCATGGAAGTAAGGGACAGAGCTACACATCATTTAGAAGATGGCCATGACGTTTTTCTGAACATTCTGCAAATGCTTTTTGCACCTAACCTCAGCATTCTTGATTTCTCCAAACCTGAATCTCTTTTAATCAAAGATTGCTATTCATTCAAAATTATGGATTGACATATCACTGATACATGGACGAATCACATTTCATTTCACTTGATCTGGATCTCAAGTGCAGTCCAGATCTCTGAAACACTGAGTGCACTCTCCAGCTCCTCAATTACAGATTCATGCTCTTCAGATTTTCTATCTGCAGTTGTATTCAGTTCACTATCTGTAAATCACACTTTTGTTTTCAATCAGCAAGATAGCAGATAACTCAACAAATACACATTGTCTCCATTACCTCAATGAACATTTAAAACTGAAAATTCTGAAACAGAACTTCTCTCTCTCCTTATGATGCTGCCACCAAGTTTTCTAACACAGTGGGTGCTCTCCTTGCAATCATTACATACTTAAATCAGTCTAGCTCAAATAAACAGTTTTTACAGTAAAACAGAAACCTTCACCTCTGCCAACCTTGTCCTTAATTGCTTTGGTTGTTTCTTTGCAAACATTCTAATTACTTCTGGAGTTTTAAATGCTTGGCTGATGGCTGCTTGTATTGCCTACAAAGAAAAGAGCAAGAATGACCAGAATTAATAACAGTCACGAGCTACAGCTGCATAACAAGATTAATGAAGGCTGGAGAGCATCATTAGCATCCTCTGCATCATTTGACACAGAGAGCTTTTGTTTTTCTTCCATAACCATGGAAGTGAGATGAAAAAATATATGACCTTCATGCAGGGCTTGAAAAAAATGCTAATTTGTGCAACTACACTGAGAAAGGGCTGTGAAACTTTTCATTACAGTACAGGTCTTAGTTTCTAATAACTTCCACCATCTTCCTGGTACTAGCACATCATAAGTGGATATGCTGTGCTATCTTCAGCAGCTTTAATACCCACACTGATGATTATAGCTCTTCTGAGGGTAAGCAGAATGTAAATGATGAGGTAAACCTCCTACCATTATTCAAAATCCTCTACGGAGTATCAAAACTATTATGATGAAATCTCACCACAGTTATGTTTAGACAAATCATGATCTCTCTGGAAACAAACCCTTAAAACTCAGAGGGCTCAGAGGGAACAAATCATGCTCTAATTAAACATTCGAGAAGAGAGAAAATAAATCAAAAGTTTGAAAGTTAGCACAAAATAAGATCAATTCACTAAAAAAACTGTTACACAGTCACTCCCGCGGCCTTTTTATTTGGACTGGTATAAATCTGAAATACAGATTGACAATGAGAGCACAGGAAATGCTATCTTTATGCTTTCTAACAAACAGGCATGAACTTTATTTCTCACGATATATATATTGTCCTGTATTGTCCCTCACATCTCTTAAATTAATTTGTATTATTTTATTTTCTAATGTTAAAGATCTGATATATTTAGTCCCTGCAATTTCCCAGTTTTTTTCTACAATGTTATGGTATTCAATATTTTTTCCTTTCAAAATGAAGACACCTAACCAAGTTTTTATATGTACACATATATAATAAAAAAATCAGATACATAGATCTAGCTTTCACACATACCTGTCTAAAAATTATAATGAGCAATTTTAACCTATATTCTGTTTCACTGAGTCTAGGCAGAACGTGAACTGTTTTTAGCAATGCATCCTTACCAGTTGCATCCCGCTGAGCTCGTCCACTAAAGTCATATCTCCAGACATAATCTTCTTCAGCGAGTCATTGATCTCACTCAGCTGTTCTAAAGTTTCTTTTTTGGTCTCTTCATACTCATCTGCATCTAGCTCCTCTCTAAAGAAGATCCAACAAAACACATTAATTCATAAGATTAAACTTGAGATGGAGAAAAGGACATCAGGGAATATCATGAAGCCCACTTCCTCAGATAGCAATGAAAACATTTACATCACTTCAGATTATTCTGCTGTAGACCTCTTAGCTGTTATTTAGCTAATGTATATTAGTTTTCTTGGTTTTGCACCACATCCTAGCCACCCATGCCCTTGTGTTGTTTTTATGAAGTTACTTGTATTAAAAAGGTCCTGACACCCATGAGATACTGAACACTTGGTGCAATATTTAAAAGGTAACACACTTTTTTTTTTAATCTCAACAAAAACCTGCAGTGATATTGTCTTGCTCAAAGCTATGGTGAATGAAATATCTGAGAAGCCTACCTCCTCACCTGAAACCCATCAGGTTATTCAAAAGTAACTGATACTGTTCTCTAAACCTTGCCCAATTCAAGGAACAACACTACTAACCCTTGGCAGTTACAATTGCTCTTGAAAAATTACGTACTGCTTGGACAAGTTAGGATTATAGTCAGCAAAAGCACCTAAAGCCACCCAGGATGTTTAAGTGCAAATACTGAAACAGATAAAAAAGGCCCTTAGTAATTCAGTCTGATAGCCCACCAAAAAAACCCTCACAAAATCGCATTAAATAAATCACACAAAAATGGTAGACAAACTAAAAAAACCCAAACACCTGTAATTATAAGACAAAAAAGACACAAAAGCTATTTGCTAAGTGCTATTGCAAAAACCCATATGAAAACTGTGAATTCCATGAACAGCTATTAAAAGTTTAAAAAGTCACTGAAATATAAAATTTCAACAAAAACCATAATGAGTATATCTAACCACATTTTCCTCAAGATGATGATAAACAGAATGATCTTAATAAAAATAAAGGTTTTGAAAAATAATTTTACCTAACTAGCACAAACATCCTAATTTAAAAAATATAAACCCACAGCAAAACACAAAATAAATAAAAAACCCCAAGTACCCACTTTCTTCTGCCAACCACTGAAGAAAATATCTACCAAAAGTGGAAAGCATCTATTTTTATTACCTGCATTCCTCCAGATCTTGAAGCTGTTGCATTAATCTATCCAACTGCTCTTCCAAGTTTTGTTTTAGTTTACTGGTCTCTGTTGTTCCTCTTGAAGCCATTTTCTGTTTTCACATGAAAATTTTAAGTTGTTACATGACACTCCTAGGAGAAAGAACATTTTACTGTTGTCTATCAACAACTTAAAACTTATTTAAAAATCCTTCAAGTATCAGGAAAATTATTCAACATCTTGATAACGGGATGTCTAATCAAAACACCTGGAGAACTTCCCGTGGAAATGCAGCAACGTGAGGCTGGGTCTACAAGATTGTTATCTTTGCAGCAAGAGGCAGTCCACCAAGGAAATAACTCCAACAGCCACAGCACATAAAGACAAGCTTCAAACCCAGGAGCAATTACGGAAATATTGCGGCCCCGCTACAGGAAACAACAGATTCTAGTCTTCAACACCCCCTTGGGAAACAGCATTTAGGAGACAACAACCCTGCTGCAGGTGACGGAGCAGGCAAACCCCTCATACAGAATCACCAGCTGCAGAACTCCGAGGCGCTCTGGAGGAAATTCCTCCTTCTCTGGGCACCGGGCCGGAGCAGACAAGGAGCGGGCGGCGGGGCCCAGCGGGGTGTCGCCGGCAGCGCCCCAGCTCCCCAGCCGCTGACCAGCAGGTTCTGAGGGTTTCCACGACGGCCAAGGGCTGCAGCGGCCGGAAGAGGGAGAAGGAAACGCGATCCCCCCCCGCTGGAACGGGAAG